ACTAAAGAATACTAATTTTTTCTAAAAAATTCTAACATAAGTTAACACATTCTATCAATACTTATCAAAAATAATACTTATTTATAGATGTGGAGTCACTTTCAAATTTCATTATTAGTAGGAATTTAAATATAGCAAATGTAATAAGTAGGACCGGACCACCTTATCTTTCTAAAGCTAGAAGAAGATCAACTGTATCGGATTGGTTACTGGTGAAAAGGATTTTGCGACATGATGGCATCTTTCATAATCTTGAATGCAGCAGGGCGATTATTTGATTTCCTCCATATTAACCAACCCTTTCAAAATTAGTGTAGTCCTAGGCCATGTCCCGAAGACTTGAACTTAGGTAAGGGTGCTGAAAGAAGATAAATGACAAACTTAATGAGACCAAAAAGTCTATCATATTTCATCCTGAAAACGGTGGCTGTGATGACGATGTACACTCATTAAGTCAGATGTTGGCCGTGACGTCAACTTTGATTATATCTAATTCTTTACACATGCAGCAGTAAGCCAGTCAGGCGAAGGAAAAATTGAAAATTTCTTAAATAAGAAAGAGATTGTTTTGGTAGCCTTCAGGCTTTAACAATACCTCTCAAGGCCGTCAAGGGTTGATTGTGAGGTCCATGCAGAGGAAATCCCTTGTAGGCCCAATATTACTGATATTGGCCCAATGCTACTGATTAATGTGCATGCTCGAAGCGTAATGGCTCGAATTTTACTTGGAAACTAAAAGATCTTGGCGGGGACCATCACAGCATGGTCTCTGGGTCAGATCCTTGTCGCGAGACAAAGCTAAGAAAGATCAGAAAGTTTATACATTACATCTGTAAGAACAGTTTATACATTACATCTGGGGTAAGAACAAAAAAATCGCCTATACTGAGTTCAATATAGGTACCACAAAGCACAAGGGTTTAGAGACTGAGTAAAAATTGTATTTCTAAAAATTCACAGTGACATATTTAATATTCATTTCTCATACATAATAATGTTGAAATTTCATATGTTTTTAATTATTAAACTCCTACGCTGAGTAAAATTTTTCTTAAAATATATTTTTGATTAGAAATGACTTTGAACTTGAAAACTCCTCAGAAATTATCGGATCCCATATTTTATTTAATTTTATTTGCTTAAATTTATTCTGACCCAAATGCCCTTCAAACATTAAATTACAATAATAAATTATTTTGAACATTAAGAAAGACGTAAGAAGAATGAAAAGAAGAAGTAATTTAATTTGGAAAAAAATTCAGAATTATTTATTGATTTAATTTGTTCATAAAAACAAGTTTTTAAAATTTCTAGATCACTAAATTTATAAGAGGAAAACCTTATACATATTAATACTCGTATCCTTCTAAAACAATTAAAACTTTTCCCCAGATTTTTAATAAAATAATTTACTTGCCAAAATTATGAGAATATTGGGTATTTTTTATTATACTGATTTTTAAATCAACAGTGTAATAAAATTCAACAATGGGAAATAACAAAAGACATGCTTGAGTAAATTTGAATTAGATGATTTTTGTTCTACTCCAAAATTCTTCTCTTCTTCTTTAGAATCACTTATTTGACTAAATTCAGCTCAAGAATATTTGTTAAATTATTAAACAGAGTCAACTGAGGTGATGTCGCAATAACTCCGCATGGACTAGTGTTTAGTCCGTAGCTACATTACATACCAAATCGAAAAGATTCAAAGTTTTCCACCGTTCACATGTTTCAGAATCTCCCTATTCCTTGCACCTTGCAATTCCTGCAAATGCTTTCGAAACACAATGCCATTATGAATCCACAAACAAAAAATAATTTCATATTTGTAAAAAATTTTAAATTTTTGCATAAGGAACCTATTCCCTTGTTTGACTTAAACACTATTTGTAATTTTCATGAACGTTTTTCCTCTTTTAAACCTCTCATTTTATTCTAGACGATATCATTTTGTTTTACAGAATATGCTCTGCTCTATAGTTATTCTACATAAATTAACAAATTGAGTTGGATTTGACTTTTCTTTTACTTTTTAATAAACACAACAAAAATTAACTCTGCTTTTTGTAAATTTCACCAAAATTCAAAAAATTCGAGTTGATGTGTAATCTTTAATTAGGAAGACGCCCTTACTTATTCCTTACAGTTTATAAAGTTTCATGAGATATTTTTGAAATACAATTATTCAAATTCAATTTTAATAGATTTAAAATTACTACTTCAATAAAGTCCACAAATTCGTAGCGATTTATTTTCATTTAGTTTTTTTTAAATTATATAAAGAACTTGTCAGCTATGAAGGAAACAAATTATTTCTTATGGAAGACGCTCCGCCATTGATAAAAGGAAATGGCAGTTGGGCGAAAAGCAATATAGAGAAAGTCGAATTATTTGCTGATAACTTAGAAAGCATATTCACAACAAACGGAATAACATCAGATGTGAGTTTAGTAGAATCTATCGCAAATGAAGCAAGCAGCGGAAGTACTGAGAGAGCTACCAGACAAGGCATTGAAGCATTTAATGAAAATCATGAATGACGCTATAGATTTTGAGTATGTTCCTTGTGCTTGGAAAGTGGCAGAAGTATGGTGTTCAAACCCGGGAAATCCTTGAGTGAAATAAAATCTTACAAGCCCATTTCACTGTCTATAGCAATAATTATTGGCTTCAAAAATATTGAAACCAGTAATAGAAAATAGGGGCCCCATACCAAACCATCAGAGTGGATTTAGAAGAAACCATTCTATAATAGACCACGTCCAAGAATAACGAATATTATAGAAAAAATCTTAGAAAATAAAGAAATCTTCTCTTCTATATTTCTAGATGCAGCACAGGCATTCGACAAGGTATGGCACAAAGGCCTTATATTTAGGTTAGGACAAATGATACCATCACCATTTGTAGCAATTTTGAAATCTTACTTAGCTGATAGATTATTTGGAATTAAACAAGACGCTGAATACTCCACGCTAAAAGAAATAAGAAAAGGTGTGCCTCAAGGCAGTATATTGGGCCCAACGTTGTACTTTCTTTACACGAGTGATCTACCATAAATAGTAATTTATACGGTAGCCACTTTTGCTGACGATACTGCAAAATTGGCAGTAGACTCGAACATTGACGAATCGACAAATAAAATTACAGGGGGCAAGTAACAAAATAAGTCAGTAGACGAAAGATTGGAAAATGAAGTTGAATGAAGCAAAATCAGTTCACATAAATTTCACCAATCCAAAAATAGTGAATCCACCACAAATTAACTTAAATGGAGCGACAATTGAAAATAAAGTATTGATTTATAACCAAATCATTAAACCAATATGACTATATGGCATTCAACTGTGGGGTTGTGCCAAGAAGACTTACATTAACAAAATTCAAACCTTCCAGAATAAGGTTCTGTGCGGCATGGTAAATGCGCCGTGGGGTATGCGTAACAGTGACATCCACAGGGACTTAGGAATTCCTTTGGTTGTAGATGAAATTAAGAGTTATGCCACAAAACATAGCTTGTAAACATAGAAGCAGCTCGACTGCTAGGAAAAAGGCCTTATGGCAGACAGACCTAAACGAACAATACCTTTCGATTTAACACAAAAAACCAATTTCCTTATTTAGGTATTTAATTCATGTACGGAAAAACCAAGTTAGCGCAGAGATAATAGTTATTCTGTGGGACCAGCTTTATCCGTTCAGAGTTTAGGTGATTTTTTAGGGTAGGAGTCATGCTCCCCACTGTCGGAGGAAAAAAGCAGGTAGCGCCGTTCTTCTTCGTCTTTCGAGATTTTTCGAAATATATTTTTTTTTCTTTTTTTGTCTCCTTATGATTTTGAAAGAAGATTGAAATAAAACATTGTAAAAATTATATAAAATAAAGGTAATTTAATTTAATTAAAAGATAAAATATTTTCTCCAAAAACTTTTCAACTTGATAGGAATAAAATGGATACAAAGAAAATTTCAGTCATTGTATATTCAGATTAGAAAGTTTTGTTGTTTTCCTTTAAAAATTTGAAGTTTCTTCACCCACATAACATGTGCATTACTTAATTGAAAGTTTTATCTCAAAATTCAAATACGCCTACGAACTATAACAACAAAAACACATTTTCTCCTACCAATTTTTATTGTGATTTCTACCCTTGTAACATATTACCTTCCATTTAGGTTAAAAAATTTTGTTATCACAACTAGGAAAGTGAAGTACATTTAAGCTTGAGTTTTTTTTTCAGTTAAACAAAATCTACAAACGTTTACTTAAAAATCAAACTTTTATCGAATTTTATTTACATCAAACAAAAGTTTAAGAACTTTCGTTAATTAACCTACATTCATACATACAATCAAATTCAAAGAAACAGATTTTCTCAAACATTTGTGCTTTGGAGATTTAATTTTAACTATTTAAATTAAAATATGTTTTAAGCTGCGAAACATTTTACTATAATGAAAGTTTTATTTCTGCCGAAAGAAAGTTCCATTATTGTTACAAGCATAGCTTTTCTACTAAAAGATATACTTGTTTTCGTATTTCTATCGATAAATTGTATAAAGTCATTTAAAATTTTATTGATTGCCATAATTGGCACGCACATAAAATGCTGATAATGTCGAAAGCACTCATTACAGGTTTCTTATCCTGCAAAAAACTAATTAACATCTAATAAATTATTAAATTTTAGTAATTAAGACATCCAAATTTTGGCTCAAATAAAAAAAATGTACATAAATTTACTCTGGCCCTGCCAGTGAGAAGCGTTTCCACCAAAAACTCAACATAGCCTTCAAATGCAATGTTAAAACATATGAGCGTGCCAAGAAATATGCAATATTAATTCAAAAATTTGCAAATTTAATTCTAACCAAGCTAGATTCTAATAATTTTGGTTGAAATTTATTATTAGAATTAGAATTTAATTTAATTTAAAAATGGTTAAATTAAAAAAAAAAAATTGAAAAATTCTTGAAACAAAATTAATTAAATTCCTTACCTGAGTAAAAGCCTCTACTATATATGTTTATGTTTGATTATAATTATATATAAATGTTTGTATGTTTATTTCTTGTTGCGTTGTATTTGATTTTTGTGATTCCTTCTTAAATAATTCTACTCCGTAATTTTAGTTTTTTTTTTCTCTAGCGTAATAAATTACAATGTCCAAAATTTAAAATTTCATTCAATTTTTGTTTTAAATTATTAATTTTCACTTCTTATTCTACTATACTCACTTAATTTCTAAAGTGTTTCTGCAAATTTTAAAAAGCATTAAAATAACTTAATTTTCGCTTTGCAAAATATATGTATATTATTTTCAATTTCTGTATATTTACGTAAATTTTAATTTGAGTTGAAAATTATTTGAAAAATAAAAAAAAAACACATCACAGATATTTTACCATTTTTGTTTTCTTCTATTAAATTTATTTAAAATTATTTTTTAATATACAATAGGATATTTAATTACTTTTTACTATTCATAATAATTAAATAATTTTTAATTCACATTTAAAAAAATGTTCACTTTTTTATCAATAAAATTACTTCTCCGATACATTCAGTACATTATATAAGTATATATAATAAAAATTTTCTTTGCTAGGCTAAAATGCAGACAATGATATGTTTCAGTTACACATTAAAAAATTTAATGCAAGTTTTAAACACCTGAAATAAAAAACAAAAAAATTAATGTGAATAATTTTATTTATTTAAATTACATATTGTAAAATTTTAACAATAAATTAAACGTTTATTTACCATTACTATACAAAGAGTTTTATCGGCAATTTACAATTTTCTAAATCACTTTCTTCTTAATAGAGAGCAAAAATCAACATATTATGTAATTTTACATAAGAATAGCGATATAACATAAGGATTTTTCTTATAGCAAAACATAGGGACCTGCACATAACGTAATTATTTGCTCATGTATGAATTATGAAGTATACAGTCTTTATTTGAATGAAAATAATTAACAGAATGAATGAAACTGAATGAGCACTTAAATATTAAAAAAGTTATGCGAAGAGAAAAAAGTATGGGACTAGGTGGCGTACGGCCCTACCGTTATAATGAATGTAATTATTTTTTAATTGTCCTATAGTATAATTACAAACATGAAAGAATAAACTATGATAAATAAAAAAATAAACGAAATCATAAAATTTCACTTTTTATTTTTCAATTCTTATATTCTTTTCAATTTATTTTTAGTAAAATTTTCTAGACTTTATGGCGCTGTTCATGCACTATTCAGTATAGACCTTCACAGAGTTTTATGAATTTTATATAGGAAAAAACTTGTTTAATTATTCACAAATTTTTTATGGGAACGTCATTTATTCAACTTTTGCTATTATTATACATATATTGATCTTATATTGTATATTCCTTTACCCTTATACAATATTTTCACACAAACGTTAAAAAAAAAAAAATACTTGAAAGGCGTCTCGTCATGAGGCTGAACACTTTTCTGCTTGGTACGGCAAATTATATACTATTTTTTATTAAGCTTAAGTCTCCTATATATACTACTTCTTTAAATATTTCAAATAATAACAGTAAAGTTAAAAATATCGTAATTTATAAAAATATCATAAATTGAAATATCCTCCCTTACTTTATGCAAAGCGTTCGGCAATTAATTGACTTACTTAATAAGACACTAAAATTTGTCAATATAAAGCGAATTATCGCACATGTATGTGAATAACAGAATCTTAATTCCTTGATAATCATTAAGGATCGAATTTTAGTCAAATATAAGTACTTTAAATGCTGGAAATGAAAAAATATATTTCCAAATTGCTCTTTTCAATGTCTGACATGATATTTTCAAAATCAGTCTGAATAAAAAAAAAAACACCAAAAAAGCTTAATAATGGAAGAATACTAAAGTCTGAGACCACGAAGAGTCTAGTGACAAACCAAAATGTCGATGGTCTCTAATATTACAGTATGTATACTTTAAGAATAAAATAAAAATTAAAACAGGAGAAAAAAATAAAAATTTTTTTATAAAATTTTAATATAATTATAATTTTTGTGAAAATATAGGTCTGGCAACAATTACTTACCTCCAGAGCTTTTTTATAATAATTACACGAAAAAAGCTTTACTAATATAATGAATTCTTTAAGTAAACTAGTAGTTTTAGTAATTGAAATTTTTCATTGTTTTTTTTTAATTAAAAAAATCATTCATATTTTTCTTTTTATTTTATTTATTTTTTTGTTTATTACACGAATACTCTATTATTTAGTTATTAAAATAAATTTCAAGAATTTGAATTTTTCCACCGTGTCTCGGATATTATTAGTAAATTGAGGATTATATTTTAAATCCTAATTTGTATATTACCAATTTGAGAAACTCTTGTAAATTTTACCGAAACACTAAATAAATTTCAGAACAATAAATTTTATCCAATAAATTTTATTTTTGCTCCAAATTGTAGATAATATTTTAAAGTAGGTTTTTATAGTAGATTTAGTTCTTAAGTATTAGTGGGTCGTACGGAATTTGTAAAATATTTTATATTTTTAGTCTAATTGATTTCAATATAAAATTCAAGAATAAAATAAAAACTATTCAATTCCAGATTTTTATGTTATTTTTTTTCGAACAATCATTTGACATTTATAATTTTGATCACAAATTTATGATATGTATTATGTAACGTATGCATACAAGAATATTAAAAACAAAATGGATTTTATTAAGACCAAATTCAATTTTCCTTTTAATTTTTTACTTTTAGTCTGAAGATATTTTTACAACGAAATTAAAAACACTTAATTCACAATTAGTTATAAATATCAATCAAAATATTTAATAATTATTGCGAAAAAAATTATTAGAAATTCGTTAATTTTTACCGTAGCGATAAACAACTATCGCCCCAACGAAGGGACGTCTTTTGAGACGGACTATTTCTTGTTTTAAAACGTGACCCGCACATGTGCTCCACTTTTAAATTTAATAAAATTTATTAAACAATTCAATATAGAATTATTGTTAAACTTCATTTAGCTGGTCATTTATAAATATAAAATTTTTTATTATAATTATTTTATTTAACTTTTTTTCTATTTAAAATATAATTTTATTATTATTATTATTAATTATTTTGCAATCACTGAAAATAAATGAAATATATAAATAAAGTATACAAATTACTTTAAAAATTTATAGGTGTTTAATTATTATTTTACTTAAATAAATTATGTTATTGATTACATATTATAAAATAATTAATATATGGAAAAAAATAATCAACAATTAAACTTTGATATTTTTTTGATAAAAAATTACGAAAAAATAGGTTTAGATACACACACATATGAAAATGGCGTACAAAAATATAGATTAATGAAAACTGTATGTCTGGTAGGAAAACTTTGTATTTCATATATTAAAAACACTGTGAGATTGTCTTCTTTATTCTTTTCATATTATTATAAAAAAAAAAATTAAATAAAAATTATTTATATAAATTTTTATGTTATAAAATTTTGCAAATAGTATACACTTATATAATCTTTGACGTAAAAACAGGTTGTAAAAGCCTAATTGACTTGATGATTTTAATGAGAAGAGTAGAAATCAAATATCGCTAAATCAAATTTATTTTTTAATTTATATATATATATATGAATGTACATAAACATTAAGATATGAGACTAAAAAAATATTAATTAATTTCTTTTTGCTTAAAATAAATTTTTTCATATATTAAATATTTCATATATGTATGTATTAATTTAATTTATTAACATTTTCTTGTATTCCCTCATCAAAAAATCAAATTAAAAATATATTTAAGAAATATATGCATCGGAATTATTCGGTAATGAAATATTCTTAAAATATTGCATACATTTAGGGGATTGCTAAATTTCTTTATTAAAACGCAAAATAAATTTGCAATTCCCTTAAATAAGCTTTTGTTGTTAATTCATAACTATTCTTATGTTTCAAAAAAATTAATTGATGATTTCCAATTATTTATAAATACTCAGAAAAATATTTTATATATAAAAAGTTCAAATAAATATGACGTTTAATCCATATATAAATTTCTTCCACAAAAAAATAAATAATAAAAAAAAAACTTTTAGATCTTATGAGTCCAATAACCCTCCAACACTTGTGTATATTAAATATAAAAGAAAGGGATATAAAAAAATCAAATAAAAAATCAAGCACCCTTTTCTCCTTATATTGTCATATAATAAATAAACAACAAAAGTTAAGTATGAGTATACCCGTAAATACAATATGCACATACATTTTAATATTATGTGAATATTCAATGCACACTTATATATTATTTAAATTTATTAATGTAATTCATAATATACACATTCATATGTACTCTTACATTAATAAATATAGTGTTAGTAATTGCATGTATTCAAACATTTTTTTAAAACAAACAAAAAAAACTTTATACAAATAAAATTTAGAACAAATTTTAAATTCTCAAAATTATATTTAAAAAAAACAGAAAAGAGGAAAATGTTTAAATGATACTTGCAAATTATAGCAAATGTATAAATATATAGTATATATATTTGTGTGTATGTGTACATAAAATTATATACATATATGTTTTTTTTTTCATTCCAACAAATTCATATTGTGTCACCTAAGAAAATTTATAAATTTCACCTTTTACCTTATATTCCATATTATATTGTATATAAAAATAAATTTATTATATGCAAATATGTACACATACAAACATTCATAATATGTATATAAAAATCCTTTATATACATATTTTTTTTTTATTGTATACAAATATTTAATAAATGCATTTATTTAAGCACAAATTCAAAGATCTTGAATGTTAAAAGGCTCTAAAGAGTTTGTTATTATCTTTATGAGAGCGCAAAATAATATTCGAAAGTTATACTCTATTTTTTTAAAGTATGTACTCGTATATAACGAAGTATATGTACACACTTGAATATTATAATAATTTAATTCGAAATAGAGGAGAAAAAGGAGAAAATATTTCTTAAGCTTAAAAAAAAAATATTTTTGTTAATATCAAAAGTTTATGAAAATTGAGAAATTTGTAAAATGCACAAGTCTACACGAAAAACATATAAAAGAAATCACGTTTTTTTTTTAAAAAAAAAAGAATTTTTTTATGTACATAGGACATACAACT